CAGGTTACCAAACATCCCCCTCACTTTGGGAAGACTTTTAACTGTTTCTTTTGTCTTCTTAACACACACACTAGTTAACTGATCTAATGAGCTCATTCTCATGTCTACACACACACACACACACACACACACACTAGTTAGACTGATCTAATGAGTTCATTTTCATGTCTACACACTATTTTAACTGATCTAATGAGTTCATTTTCATGTCTGAATTTGGTACTAGTCTTCTGATTAGCTAGGGTGTTTTCATAGGAAGAAGAACTCAAATTCCTTTGCAGGACCTAGGAGAACCAAGTATTCTTGGACTTTGTTTAGACGTGATGTTCAATAAATTGCTTTGTGAAAGAGACATAATCAATCTTTTTTCTTAGGTTGGAAAGTAATGACAAGGACAAGTTTGAGGTATGCAAATTATATGCATTATGCCTTATTTATTAAACTACGTCTTCTGTTTCTGGACATTTTTTATTTCAGTTTATATTGTCACAGGGAGCATCTTCACCCTCTGAGACCAGCGTGCAAATTAGTAACGACAACATATGGAAACTCTTCAATGATGCTCAGCAAAGTGAGGCCTCAAACTTTTATGTCATGTAATCATGAAGGATTATGCATATAACTAGGCTTTCTACCAATTTTTTTGTACCATGCTTCATGCCAAGTTTTTTTTAATGCAACATAGCTGCATGTTCTTTATAAATTAGTATCTTTTGCAATTTACCCATAGAACTAACATAGTTGATTTTTGTGATTCTATTGGGCATGGTAACAATATTGTTCTCTTACTGAACTTCTGATTTCTAGGTTGTAGGTTGTTCAATTATTCACACATTTGATAGAATCAGAATTATGTTCCTTTTTCCCCCTATCTTTAAACACCACACCATCCCAATTGTGTCTAATAATTCACGGAATTGATTATCTAATTTTTCAGAGGTTTTCTGTAAATAATATTTGTTATCCAATGATTTCCATATAAATATATGGGTACGTGTTCCTATTGCAGTCATGATGCCCCTTGTTCCGATGCATATGAATGTATATCTATATGCTAGCCGACTCTGAATCTTTCTATTAAGTATATGTGAAACATGTAAGTAGTATATCTCATATTTGAATTTCTGTGCATGGTTAGATATTATGCATCTGAACAAACAACGACTTGTGGCTTTAGAGGAACTGAAGAAAGTGCAACATGAAAAACAGTTACTACTAGAGAGGCTAGAGCAGTTGGAAGCAAGAAACCAGGCAGGTGCGGCTGAAGATATTTGTCAGAGGCAAGAAAATAAAATAATATATGTTTGAACAAATTTTTTAAACAGACCCATTTCAATTTTTAATTTTCAAAACCGACTCTTTTTTTTTTATTTACCAAAACCGACCCGATTTTATGATTAGCAGATTAATCACTTTCCTAAATAGTCGGGGTTGGCAACCCCGACTATTTAGGACGGTGTTAAACCCTAATTAGAAGCATTAAACCCTAAAAATTAATGTCCTAAATAGTCGGGGTTGCCAACCCCGACTATTTAGGAAGGTGATTAGTCTGCTAATCACAAAATCGGGTCGGTTTTGGTAAAAAAAAAAAAAAAGAGTCGGTTTTGAAAATAAAAAGTTGGAATGGGTCTGTTTAAAAAATTTGTTCTATATGTTTCTGTACATTTCATTGTTAATCCTTTCACGCTTGCACATCAAGATGTGGACAGTTATTTTGGCTTTATGTTTATCCATCTCAAAGCATAACAATCTTCTTGAAGTTAAGTTTCTTCTAGAATATTGAAAGTCTGAGGGAGTTCTGCTTATATTCAATATGTAATTTTGGATTGGTACTAGCTTACTTTCTTTGTGCATGCCAATGTGTTCTGTACAGCTTGAATTATTCCTGTATCTACTTATGCATTTATTTATGTTGCTTAAACAATAGTTCTTAGGAACCAACTAACCTAGAAGCATAGGCTTATGGGTTATGGGTCAAAAATGTGATCTTAGACATTCCCTCTCAAGTGGGCATCCTCTCCATGTTCAAAGGCCCCCATTGGAAAGATTACTTCCTTGAAAGGTAGAATATGTTTGGTGAGGAGGTGATGGAGTTAAGTAAGAATGGATAGGAAAGCTAGTCGACTGCATGTCCAAAAACCAGTTTACACATAGATTTAGCTTTAAAGTGGTTGTTTGACAGACAATTACGGAATAAATTATCTTCCATGTTTTTGGAATATATTTTGATTTCTTTTTGTTGCCTAATAGAGACAATTGCTTAAATATAAGTTTTGAAATCATTATGGGAATGGGAATCTACGATTAGTCAGATCTTTGGTTTTCATAGCATTTAACAGTGTGCTGGAGTTCTCTGAACCAATGACAAGTCTTATTTGCAATTGCCTGAGTATTCATCTAGTTTTAACAGAATGTAACATAGTCAATAGATTTCTCCTTACGTTGATAAGTTTGAGCTATTTATGTTTATTTCATAGTAACACTGGCAGCCATCACATGCATGTAATATGACTTTATGGGGCTATGTTGGATCATACTTCAAAGTTAAAACTTAATCTATGTTAAGTTACATTCTGTTGAATATTCTCTGGTCAAATTGCCAAACATGTCAAATTCTTGAGTTTGTAATTATTTTTTTGATCTTACATTAGGTACCACCACTAAATCAGTGGAATCATGGAGTATCTCTGAGTTGCTACTGCGGATAGATTCCATGGTGCTCTCAGACATGATTGGTACAGGAGAGGCGGCTGATCTCAGAAAAAGTATTGTGGAGAACAGATTTGCTGTCGATAACCTTTTCTTTGGCATCCAGGAGAAGAATGATCTAGAATTATTATCAGAACTTCGGCATTTTTCAGAAACAATTATGCGGTATGCCAACTAGTGATTTGAAAATCAAAATGGAGAAACAATACATAGCATATTTGTTATTCATGGTTCTATATGCATGGAAGAGACTATTTTTTCTTTATTTAATGTTACTCGCATGGCACCAATTTTGTCTGTGTATCCATACTGTATGTTAATTTTCAAAACTGAGAACCTAAATCCTTTATACCACTTCTAGTAGTTTGCTAGAACACAAGAACACCGTCACACTCGCTTCCTCTTCCAAGGTCTATCACTATTATCCCTCCAATCATCTTCCCAGGTATAATTTGAAATTAATTGTTCTTTATGTTGACAAATACTTGAGGTTTTATTTGCAAAAAATCTTCAATTGTCTTCTTATGCACTGAAGACTGCTCACAAATATCAATGAACTGTTGGACTGGATATATAAACTTTAGAACCATGAAATATGGTTATCATTTAGCATTATTTCTGAAACAGGGTATTTTGCTTTGTAGAAGTAAACTGTAAGCTATTGATTTTTCTCTAAATTCTAATTTTTCTTGGTGATTGTTCTCAAATATGGTTACCCCTGAACTGCAGAAAACCTTTGCATGTAGTGCATATCTGCAGCGAAATGGAACCGATTGCTTCCTCCAGTCCCTTGGCATCATATGTGACGGGTGTTTCGTCCGCCCTACAAAGAAAAGGCAATATGGTGGAGGTCATTTTACCCAAGTATGTCATCTTTTAACCACACAGTTTTATTCTGTGTATCTACTGATGAATCTTCTATTTATGGTTTGTAGGCATGCCCTTATTAGCACTTAAACAAAACTAGTCAGTAATGATACCTATCAGCTGTAGCGGATTGGTTTTTTAGCATGTCGATCTGGCAACCACCCCGAATAACCAGTACATGCCAATGCTGATCCCATATCAACAAGTATTGGTAGTATAGCAATATCATCAGGAATTGGACTGATGGAGGATACTCGACAATACTCGACCGATACTGTTTGGTAACTATTTAAATTAATATAAAAATAATATTAGATATTTAGAAAACAAATTCTACCAAATTAGTTCTTTAATAATACTGCACTCTAAATGACATAATTAATGGGAAAAAAGTAATTGCACGTCAATCATAAAAACATACAATTTGAAAAACTACATTGTAATATATTAATCAATAAGTAAACCCACAAGAAGTAGGAGCTTCACAAGTCAACATGTAACAACAATTAAGAACTACACCATATTGAGTTAGCATCATAATCCATTAACGTAAAAGCCAATAAATCAGCCTAAAAGCATAATAGCTTTTGAATTGTAAAGTATCTTAAAGCTAGTTTGAAATATAGTATCTTACCGATTTTATCCGTACTATTGAAGCAATATAACACAAAGAGAAGAATGCTGTAGGTGGATGCTGAACTAATATTCTATGTTCAAGTAAAGTTTGGTAGATTATCAACAAATTAACAAATCTATTAATTCATTAACGTCAGATTGTTAATTGTTTCTGCTGCAAGATCAATTCTAATATACATGCTCCTATCAAAACCTTGTCTCCTAGGATAGATAACATAGTATCAATCTTCTCCACAAACTTAAGATACCTTCTGTTAGACCCTAGAGGGGGGTGATTAGGGTCTTATGCTAATCTAATCCGATTAAATGTCAATTAAAACTAATTAATAAGTTATCCTAGCAAGTATGAAATGCAATAATATATATGAGCTAGGATAAGCAATATACAATATGATATATCCTAGCAAAGAGATATATAGCAAAATATATATATGCAAGGATATATAAACTAACACAAGGGTAAACAATATAAACTAGATAGTGGATCATAAAAAGGATGAGTAATGCACAATTGGCGATATAAGATAAATGCAAAAACAACTACGCCAAAGACAAACTCAAACAAGCAATATGATCACGGAGTTCGGACCTTCCGTCCTACGTCTCCGCTCCCCACTCCCGGGGAGAAATCCACTAACACAATCCGGTTTGAAAGCCAGAACTTCTTCTACACACTCGGTTTTTTAGCTAACCGAAAACTCTACAACTCACACTCTTGCAATCACACTCTACACCCACTAAGTGTTGGACCTAGTCGTATCTCCCTCAAGTGCTCGGTTACAACCTCTCTCTAGGCACGTCAACCGACGCCACTCCTCTTGGGACGATCATCGACTCTCACCACACACTCCTCACTCGGTGTACAAGTGTATTACAAAGTGAATCTCTCAATAAGCACAATATAACAAATGATTGTTCTCAACTATGGATGAGAACTCAATTAAGCACAACTCAAAGTTACAATCTCTCACCACCCAACTATACTATGTATGAAAGAACTAAAAGCTCAATGTGGGTGTGTGTAACAATGAGTAAAATAAAATCTAACTCAAATAGCAAACTAGCAATAGTAAGAATATGAAAATCAATAACGAAATTGCTAGAGAAAAGAGTTAGAAAACTTCTCTATAAACACAAAGAAGAGGATGAAGAGGATGGAGAATGAATCCCTCAATCTGCAGTGAAAACTTCCTCCTTTGTAAACAGAAACCCAATCTTTTAAACAAACAGTAAAACCCTAAACCCTTGTTTAAAAACTTTGTAAAATCCGGTCGACCGCGAGCAGGTCTGAAAAACAAAGAAACAAGCAGAGACTTCGTTGGTCGACCGGTGCGGTCGACCGATGGAGCTTTCGGTCGAACGGACCGGTCGACCGACAGACTCTCTGTCGCACAGTGAGCACGAGAACTCGGGTTCGGTCGATCGGTTCGGTCGACCGAAAACTGACATATTCAAAAACTGTTTTGCTGATTTTAAAATGCTGTTTAAAAATATCAAATAAATTCCAAAAAATGTAAAACTTTGGAGAATGATTGTAGACATGATAATAAACATGCTACAACGACTGGTTTCGAAAAAGGACTTCCCACATGAAAAATATCATCATTTTGCAAGATAGTCCAAAACACGAAAATGTAAACATGTGAATTTTGACATTCTGGCTAAACCAACTTTTGAAACTTTACAAAATGATTTTATAGACTTGAAGAAAGATGTAAACTATTGTTACGAAGTCTATAAACAATGAATGTAGTATTTTATCAAAATACACATATAATGCACTAAAAACATGATTTCATTTAACTAACTAAAATTGATATTGATGAAATCATATATATGCATATGAGTATGAAACAAAAATATGTTTTCTAATTATATTCAATTGTTTCATAGTAAAACTTGAAAACTATCAAACCAAAACATATATGTATATATATAACTATATATATACAAAAACCAAAACGTGTATGTGTGTATATGATTGAGCTTAAAGTACTAACACACATAATATAAATTCCTAAACTAAATTATCCAAGCTTGATTGGTCTTCAATAAGCTCTACTTGGTACACATGCGGATGAAGCTTGAACTTGATCTTTAACTTGAATTGTATAGGCTTCAATCCGACATTCCGCCAACCTCCTTTGGATATGATCGTTGAAGCTCTATTCCATCCATCCTCCAACAATGTTGTTTGTCTACAAAACATAGGAATGCACAAACACTAGACAAACAACATTAGTAGTAAATTGTTTGTAAATCATCATCAAAACAAGAAGGCCAACACCTTCAACGTGTGACTAATTCTTTTGATGACTGTGCACACATTACCATCGAAGGAAAATAGCTGCTAAGTGCATTATAACCTAGATTTAGAGTTGATTGATCAACATGGTATATTGGTGATGTGAAGATTATTTGAATTGTATCCTCTAGCAGTCAATTATTGTGATGAGCTATATATCAAATTGGGAATTTTTAATTCCTTTCAATTTATAAATTACATTTGGTTGTGAAACATGGAAAATATGTGATGTGGAGACTTGTAGGCCCACAGTGAGCCATACCAGTCAGATTTCTTTGGGTAGAGCTACATGCAGCACGATCACTAGACTATCGTCTCTTACAGAATGAGTTAGAGACGACTGGAATATCAGATTCTCCAATTAGGAGCGAACATAAACTGAAAAGCTTAA